AGATTTACTCATAAAATAAACCGTTGGATTCGTCTCTTCGAGACCTATCCATAAAAGTCAATCTTAACAAAAATCATTGACTCCAAAAATTCCTTCGTTTTTGGTCAAACATAGAAATAATATTTTTGTTGAGTCAAAATATTATTTCTAAAATACTTTTATTATAAAATAATATAACTTTTAGACCATATTTTGGGGCGTTACATTTCTCTCCCCCTTAAATAATTTCGTCCTCGAAATTCTCTGAGTCTTTGATTGAAGAGGTTCGGATATTGTGTTCTCATTGACTCTTCAGTTTCCCATGTGGCTTCTTCAGTCGAGTGATTCCTCCATAGTACTTTAACTAGAGGTACGGATTTGTTTGTCAACTGTTTGACCTCTCGTGCCAAAAATTGTACAGGTTGCTCTTCATATGTCAATTGTTCGTCAAGAGTTACGATTCCCTCAGTCAAGATATGCGATGGATCAGAACGGTATCTTTTCAACATCGATACATGAAATACGTCGTGAATTTTATTCAGTTCGGGCGGAAGTTCTAACCGGTAGGCCACTGGACCTACACGTTCAGTGATTCGGTATGGTCCAATATACCTTGGACTCAGGTTTCCCTTCCTACCGAATCGCAACACTTTCTTCCAAGGCGATACTTTCAGAAATACCTTGTCATCCATGTTGTATTCAATCTCACGACGTTTCAAGTCGGCATAAGATTTCTGTCGGTCAGTAGCCACTTGTAGCCTTTCTCTGATCAGATGAACCTTTTCTTCCGTTTCTCGAACAAGATTAGGTCCTTCAAGTTTTTGCTCGCTTAACTCTGTCCAACATACTGGGGTTCTACAACGTCTCCCATACAGAGCTTCATACGGGGCCATTTGGATACTAGCTTGATAACTGTTGTTATAAGCAAATTCCATTAATGGTAGGTATTGTTCCTAGTTGCTTCCAAAATCTATTACACAACCTCTCATCATATCTTCTAGAATTTGAATTGTTCTTTCAGATTTTCCGTCCGTTTGAGGATGAAATGACGTACTAAAGTTGAGTTTAGTACCTAGGGCCTTTTGCAAACTCTTCCAGAATTGTGACGTGAATCGCGGGTCACGATCGGAAATGATAGACAAAGGCACACCATGTAATCTTATGATCTCATAAATGTACAATTCTGCCAATTTCTTTAAAGACATATCACGTCGAATTGGGATAAAATGAGATGACTTGGTTAATCGATCAACGATTACCCACACAGCGTCATTCTTCTTGGCTGATAATGGAAGTCCGATCACAAAGTCCATCGTAATTCGTTCCCACTTCCATTCAGGAATAATGGGTGGATGCAACAATCCACTTGGCACTTGGTGTTCCGCTTTGACTTGTTGACACGTTAGACATCGTGTTGTAAATTCCGAGATTTCCCGCTTCATTGTGGGCCACCAATATGTTTTCTTCAGATCCTGGAACATCTTATTACTACCAGGATGCATGGTATATGTGGTTTCGTGAGATTCACGCATTAAACGCTCTCTTACTTCTCCACTAGGAACTACCAAACAGTTTCTGTAGAATAAAATTCCATCAGTCACAGTGAAATCTTGTCTCTCCCCCTTAGAGACAAGTTCACAAGTCTTCAAACAATAGTCGTCACGTTTTTGTGCAGCATGAATTTCATTCTCAAGAGTAGGCTGGATCCGGAGTTCAGCTATCATCTTTCGGCTCAAAGCGTCAGCAACTACGTTAGCCTTACCAGGGTGATAGTCGATATAACAGTCGTAATCCTTAATAAGTTCTAGCCATCTTCTCTGTCTCAGGTTCAACTCTTTTTGAGTTAACAGGTATTTCAGACTTTTATGGTCTGTATGAATATACGTCGTTTCTCCGAAGAGATAATGACGCCATATCTTCAGAGCAAATACGACTGCTGCTAGCTCAAGATCGTGAGTAGCATAATTACATTCATGAGGCTTTAACTACCTTGACGCGTATGCCATGACTTTTCCGTCTTGCATGAGTACACATCCCAAGCCATTATGAGATGCGTCACTAAAGATTGTGTAGTCTATACCTGGTACTGGTTGTGTCAGTACAGGTGCTTCTGTGAGACATTTCTTTAGTTTTTCAAAGCTTTGCTGACATGCGTCGGTCCATACAAATTTCACATCTTTTCTCAAAAGTTTGTTAAGTGGAGTTGCGATCGAGGAAAAACCTTTAACGAATCGTCGATAGTATCCAGCTAATCCTAGAAAACTTCTCACTTCACGAACATTCCTTGGAACCTTACACTCGATGATGGCAGATATTTTGCTAGGGTCCACTTTAACACCTTCCTTCGAAATCACATGACCAAGGAATGTGACTTCATCAAGCCAAAATTCACACCTGGATAACTTTGCATACAGTTTGTGTTCTCGTAGTACACTGAGTACTATCACCAGGTGCTTTGCATGGTCTTCTTGATTTTTTGAATATACAAGAATGTCGTTGATGAACACGACTACGAATTGATCAAGATAGGGTCGGAATACACTATTCATGAGATCCATGAATACTGCAGGAGCATTGGTCAAACCAAAGGGCATTACTGTGAACTCGTAATGACCATAACGAGTACGGAACGCAGTCTTTGGAATGTCCTCTTTCTTGACAGGGATTTGATGGTATCCTGACCGCAAGTGAACCTTAGAGAATACAGTAGATCCTCTAAGCTGATCAAATAAGTCATCGATACGA